TTATGATACACCATGTAAGCATAGGAGGCTGCACATTGGGTCGATTTGGATAGCGCAAAATGTATATATTGTTTGTAATCCTGTAGGTCGAACCTTTACACCAAATGACACACCATTACCAGGATCCTTGCAAGAAACCGCAAAACAGGTACTTACATTTACTACATTAATATTTATAAGCCAAAACCCTGAAGAACCTCGCCCCACATTATAATCTATATAATCCAGCAGATAGGGTAAATTAATGGACTTGCATGTTTATTTTTTTAATAAAATCAAATATGATGGTGAAATATGAAATTATGAAATATAAATTATTTCTTGGATTATGATTTAGATGTTTAATATCTATTTATAATTATAGGGTTATGAGAGGTTCAATTTTTTTTAACCAAAATGTCATTTTCGGAACCATAATATATTTGGGTCAAGTACTTTTTTTAACATTAAGATGCTCCAAATTTGCATTTTATCTGCCCTTTCCATGCTTACACTGGCATTTGCATTATATGTGTGCACTATGTCTGATTAATCACTTTTTATCTCGAATTTCAGACCGAAGATATGTTTTTTTTACAGTCGGAGTGTCGTTTTAATGATTATTTGCAAGTTTTTCATTTTGGATCAAAATGTTGGTTTTTAAAACTTTAGATACGCAATCCTTATGCTTTTATCATAATTACATGTGTTTTAATGGCTAATCAGATGAACTACAACAGTTCTCGAACAACACTTAATAAGGTAATGTGGTATTACCGTTAATCAACCTGAATACGTATTGATTGGTGTGTTACACAGTGTTGCAAACACATAAAATTGTCATTATGTTCAGGTCGAAGAACGTGGTGGCACCTGTATACCAGTGAAATGTGATCACACAGATGATAAACAAGTAGAAGAATTATTCAATAAAATCAACAAAGAACAAAATGGACGATTGGATCTCTTGGTTAACAATGCATATTCAGGTGTTCAAGTGAGTTTTATTTATAAGGCGATAGTTGGTTTTTCCTAATTAACTATTCAAAATAACTAGAAGTTTTGGGCACTGGCCCTTTATCAGTAGTATCATGAAAAGGTGTGTGTGTGAGTGTTATACGGTTATCTCTCTCTTGCTTTTTATGATAGCGATGTTGAGATTATACAAGAAGAGTTGCCATTTTTTATTGAATGTAACCAAGATGGTAATCGACATTTGTAAAACCATGGTACATACTGTATTGGCAAGTGACGTTAAATACACCACTTGACCAAGTTGATGAACGAGTCTGTATTAACTATGCATGATAATCTCACATTTTATTTGTTTTCCCTTTCTTCAGGCTATGCTCGAAGGTCCAACAAACAAATTCTGGGAACTCGATCCTGGCTTTTGGAACACTGTGAACAAAGTGGGACTCAGGTACCTTTTATAAACATGCATTCAATATTTTTTTTCAGTTAGTCCTAAAACGCTACAGTCGTTGAGTGGGTAAACTTTGCACGCGCTGTATATGTCGCATGGGACCCACATCAAATACAACGTGTTACGACGATGTTGTACTTTAATTATATGGTATACCTACATGTGTGTGTTTCTGTCATAACTTAATACCATTTTTAAATGTTTTCTATTGTTGGTATGATAAAAAAATTCTATCTTTCATAAACTTAGCTATCTATTTGCACTAACTATTCCCTGTGCTATTGATTAGAGGTGCAGACCAGCCTAGCTGTGATATAATATATTAAGGAATTACTAAACATCATAACACACACAACTTGCGCATTAATATATTTCATTCTGAAAATATGTGAGTAGGCTAGCATATCATGTGTTTACTTTATTTCGTCAGAGGCCATTACGTTGCGTCTATATTTGCAGCAAGAATGATGGTACCAGCAAAACAGGGTTTGATTATCAACATCTCGTCACCAGGGGGACTGACGTACATTGTTAGCGTTGCTTTTGGTGTTGGAAAAGCCGGGGTAAATATAAACCCCATTTTTTAGAATTGATTGAAACTATGCAAATGATGCTATGTCACGCATATTGGTGGATGGATGTTGGCAACGCAACGCTGAACCGTTTGACTTGATTTTTGTTGTGTAGCTACTTTGGTGTAGAATGAGAATCCGATCTGCCAAAATTATCTACCAAAACAATAAAAATACTTAAATGATTCTTCTATGACTCTAGTTGATGTACATGGCTGATATTGACAGTGCAGTTGCATTGGATTGACCTCAGCAACATTTTTAATTTAATTTGTCGAATATTTGTTCGTGCATATTTATGTTAAGAATTATTTTTGATTTCTTCTTGAAATCTATGTGGCTGTTGAATACCGTTATATCAAGAACCACTAATCTAATTAAATACAACTGGAAATGCTGTTCTTTAGAAATTTGTTAATTGAATTATCGGTTTGACTATCAAGTCTTTTCTTTGTTCATCATATTCGGGCCTGGGCCAGTAATTTGCATATGACAAATGTGTATTTGATTGTTGTGTGCAAGGCACACAATGAAAGTCGTTGCATCTGTGTAGGTATCTATCTGTAGGTATCTGTATATATATGTCCGTTCAACCAATATCATAAACCAATCATTAGATTTTAATGATGATTTGTGATAATGCACATACCTGATAAGGTTTCAGTGGGAATGAAATGTCATTCTTATTTTTATGAATATGACTAATTAAAAAAATCAGACATACATACCAGTTATCATAACAAATCGTCGTCATGTGGTTCAACGCAATGATCCAATAAAAAGAACATGATACATACTGTTGTGTAAGTAGCGTCTTCTAAATACGAAAAGATGCTATTGCGTATATGTGTGTAATGGATGTCTTCCAAATTGTCTATATTCAGCATGAATCAATGAAAAATACTGTATTTAGAGGTATTTTATATTCTAAAAAGAGTAGTTTACGATATTGCTTAAACAATTGACTCGTGACTCATTCAATTCAATAATCAATTCAAGTCAATAATCATGGCTTTAACTGAATAGATGTGAACTTCTCCAGGTTGACAGAATGGCACGTGACTGTGCGCACGAGCTGAGAGAATACAACGTTGCAGCTGTTTCATTGCACCCTGGGGCTGTGAAAACTGAAATGGTCATGGATATGTTAACTCGAGTCCAAAATGGTGGGAAAGAATACCTGGTAACAAAAACAAGCGTTAACTGATTGTGTGTAGCACTAATGTTTTCTAATTTCTAGGGTTTATGCAATGCTGTTATACCTGTTATAATAATAACAATTTCGTTGACCCAATTAATAGCATAGTGATGTCATCATAATATCACGTGATAAATGAAATTGTTATTCACGTATAATTAGAAAACAAAGGTTTAATTATCTGCTCAAAACACCTAATAGAAACAACACAACGCTATCACCTTTGTGTGTCCTGTTTTAACGCGAGATCTCGCCATGAACGGAAAATGGTCTACTGCAGTTCATTTAAATTTCATATCATTATCATACCACTATCTATTAGTCACACAATAAAATCATTGCATTCGTCCATTGTTGGACTTTTTGATACACAGAATGTAAATTTGGATTTTTTCTACTCCAACTTTACAGTCAACGAAACTATTTGAAAATGCAGAAAGTGCCGAGTATATTGGCAAGGGAGTCGTACACCTGGCAAGCGGTAAGTAACGTATTTTATTCTGAATATATTTAAGCGAGATGGTCGTCACCTGTGCACGCGCGGGAATTGAGTCCCAAACGACGAAAACAACACACGCTAAAAACGCAAAGGCTCATGGGTAGACGCTTGTTTGTTAACAATGACACGCTATGGTCGTCTGACGCATGCACAGGTGACGACTCCCCCGCTTTAAACAAATTTAAATTTTTTTATCCACTATTTAGTGGATCTAAAAAAAACGTCTCATACAATTTTGATTTGCTTTTTCTTGTTTCTGAATATGTTTATATATATCATTTGTCAGACATGCTGAAATGCTGAATTTTTCAAGTCATGAACATCGAGTTATACCATGTTCAATTTCGCATGACCACATCAAATTATACCTCGATGTTCAATCAACAGTGAACCGAACTTTGATTGTTATCGCGTTCCAAATTCTCCAAACGTGGCAAGTGGCTAAAGCCAAAAGTTTGCAACAAGCAAGCTTGCAACATGTTAATTTTGTTAATATGTGAATATTCAAACAACAACATAAATGTTACCTGTCAATTAAAGTTTGGGTTACTAACTTATCTACGTATTTAAATTATACAACTCAGACATGGTGTTAATTAACATTTACCAGAGAGCTAATAACTCCAATACTTGTGATTTATTATTTTTGTGGCCTGGGAACATGCATTTCCACTATAAGACTCTCAATGTGACCCCTTCCTACATCGGGGCGTCACTATGTCTGTGCTGATTCAAAAACACCACAGTTACATTTTCTGTATTCCTCATGATTTCTGGATGCTGTTCAAGTGAACTTCATTCCCAACAACGAACTGTCACTGGAAGAACATGTTTCAAATGTGACTAATGCACTACTCATAGCTCTGAACCTATCACCATTTTGTCTCAACAAGTCACCCACAGAGCATTGTTCGTCCAAGGTTAATGTTTGTTGTATATAAATCTATTGAGGCACCACACATTGAGGCTACTGTAAAGCTGTACCTACTACTTTCCCCCCAAATAGGCTGGTTGAGGGAAGAGTTGTCAGTGTTGTAGACATGTTGGATCTGTAAGCAGAGAAACATCCACCTGCAATTGTTTTTTCACTTGGGGAAACAAGTGATTTGCCTTTCAATCCGAAGATTTTTTCATTCTCACCATATAGGGTTATGCATGCATTGCCAGCAGGTTCCTCTTTCTTCCAGATCTTTCAGACCTTACTAGGTTCAGTAGCCTGCATGAAGGTTCAATTAATTTAGAACTTTTGGAAGCAGATTGGTAAGGATTGGAAGGTTTGTTTTGTAGTCCCTTAGGGGAAGGAATTACACGCTACTTGACAAAACGACAAAAGAAGTTTTTTTAGGTACCCCTGCTATGCTGGTACTACACATTATATCTCTGGCCTACCTTGGATATCTCCTCGCCTCACTGATACAGTTATCCGCTCCTACAGATTTTTTTCTGTTAGATTTACCCTGTCGTTTGATAACAATTACTTAAACCTCTTTAGGGATGTTCTGCAACTACATATTATGTAATTGGATGACAATTTGTTTGTGTTCACTTCCTTTCTCATTCGAACTGCAAACATATCTGGAATCAAAGTTTAAATTTTGTAATATATATTGGCACTATAAATTCACCTATCTTTACAGACCCGAAAATTATGAAGAAAACAGGTTGTATTTTATCATCAGGAAACTTGGCATTGGAGTATGGCTTTACAGACGTAGATGGAAAAGTACGACTTTATAGCAGATATTGATAGGTGCAACACACCAGTGATAGAATAGTGTGTCTGGCAAACTTTACACATGTGACATGTATCAAATATATGTGATGATACAATGTGTAATAAAGTCTTGTTTTTTTCCATTTTATGTTCAAATTGTAATTAGGGTAAGTGTGAATAATTGAAACTGATTTTAAGGCGAGTTTTATGACATTTAATTGAATGGTTTGGTGCATACAAACTTATTACTATGGAATAGTTTAATTCTGTTTTCACGTTTTCGCAATAAGCAGAAAGTGATGATTTATTGTCAAAGATGACAAACTGTTTCTCTGACACGTGACAAATAATACAACTAAAAATAAATACAAATTTCAAAGGTCTAATAACTACAATTAAATCGGAAAGTAATAAAAATACAGTAGATAAATCAAAGTAAAGATTTTCCCTACCAAGGGGTTTACACAAGTGGTGCTTTGTATTTTTTTAGATATAGTGAAAGGGCAATGTTATTTTTCATAATTTTTAAGAACGTTACAT